TTTGCTTTTTGTTTTTATTTTTTATTTTATTATAATATCATTTTATTGAATCACCATGAGATACAGTTACAAAACTTTCATGTTTGAGTAAAAGTCACACAATGATCTAACACCCATCCTTCCACCAGTGCACATTCTCCACCACCAATGTCCCCAGTATTACCACCCCCTCTTTCTACCCTCCCCGTGCCTCTGTGGCAGACAGTTTCCCCCATATTTTCTCTACTTTGGGGCATTATGATTTGCAATATAGATACCGAGAGGCTATCACGTTTAGTTCTTTATCTACTTTCAGCACACATCTCCCATCCCGAACTAATTCTCCATCATTGACTTAGTGATCCCTTCTCTATTCCAGCTGTCTTCTCCCCTCCTCATGAGACAGGCTTCCAACTGTGAAGCAATATTCCTGTCCATTATGTCTAAGTCCTTGTGTGTCGGTCTCATATTTAAACATATCTTTCTTAATCTAGTAGAGGGCAACCATAAGCACCATCAGTGAGTGCCATACCCGATGCCACATGCTGGGAAGTTTGTCAAGTCCTTCAAAGAATTTTAATGCTTATTGTGAAAGTATAAAATTCAAGGCTATGAACTCCCTAAGCTGTTGCCTGTTCATGAATCTGTGTATCGTTCCTTCAAATATGAATGATAATCTAGCTAAATTGAGTTTTCTTGGTGATGAGTTTATTTCGTTGAGTTTTATACTGTTATTTTCCTGTTATACCTTTTTTTAATATACCTTTTTGAAAAGGCGCATTTATCTTAGGTTTCTCAAGAACTCAAAGAGTTCTTAGTAGAACATGAATTAGGCTTTCCACTCAAAAGATAGCAACATTTATCAGTAAAACAATGATCCTCCTGAAATGGAAATAAAATTTTGCCTTTTTTAAAAATAAATAAATAAATGATACTAACTCCTAACAAACCTGATCAAATAGAACACAAAAATGTGTATAATATTGGTCAAGAGAAATAGTAAAGAGATTAAAGTGCAGGTCTAAGGCTTAACAGGAGATATCGAGCTGGCCTCAGAAAAGCCCTGGCCCCTACCTGGGCCATCGAGGATGACACTGGCACAGCAAGGCACAAACATCATCACATCCTTTTATACACACACTGAACCATCTTCCAGTTAACTGAGAGTCCCCAGGAGGGATCCCCAGACCTCCTGAGCAATGTTTGAGTTCCCCTACCACAAATACATATGTAAAATGGAGGAAAGACAAACTGGATTTTCCCCCTTTCTCAGAAAACCAGTGAAATGATGAGATTATAATAATTATAAGAAATACTATGTTATAAAAAGTACTGTTACAAATTCAAACCAAACTATTTTTAAATGAAGGCTTAAGCATTTTCATAGAGAAATTGTTCAACATTGCTAAATATGGTTCAGAAACCTGAACATACTAATTACCAGGAAGAAATTTAAAAGATTGTTAAAGGTCCAAATCCAGTTGGTTTTACAAGTGATTTCCTTCAAGGAATTGATTTTTTTATGTTGTTTATAATAATTCCAAAAGGATGGAAAGTTTACATATCCCTAACATTTCCTGTCACAGGAAAAATGAACACAGAAAAGAAACTATAGTCAGTTTCCCTTATGAATATATATTATTGTCTTAAATAAATATGACAAAATTAGAATCCAAGTCTGACAAAAGAATAACACATCATGATTAGGCATTATTTATTCTAAAAAGACAAGAATGGTACAGGAAAACAAATAATGTAATCACTGTCACTGTCCTCCCATTGTTCATTGATTTGCTCCAGCAGGCCCAGTAACGTCATTTTGAGACTTGTTGTTACTGTGTTTGGCATATCGAATACGTCACGGGGAGCTTGCCAGGCTTTGCCCCGCGGGCGAGATACTCTTGGTAGCTTGCCGGCTCTCCAAGAGGGATGGAGGAATCGAACTCGGGTCGGCCATGTTGGCTGCTTGCAAGGCAAATGCCCTACCCACTGTGCTATCGCTCTAGCCCAAATAATGTAATAATATTGTTAGTTGAATAAAGTAGAATTGTATGGCCATTATTAATAGACATTTGTTTAAGCATTTGATCAGGATGCTAGAGCGGTAGGACAGAAGGCAGGGTGATTGCACATTATTGACTCAGGTTCAATCCCTGGGTTCAATCTCCAGCATCCCGTATGGTCCCTCAAGCCCACCAAAAGTGATTCCTGAGTGCAGATCCAGGACTAACCATGAGCATTGCTGCCTGTGGATTTTTTGTCTGTTTTGTTTTGTTGTCAGATTCTGACTTTTGTTATTAGATCAGAACAAATGAAGTACAGGCAGAAATAGCAGCAAAACAGGTCTCTGCCACTCTCTGGCTCCCGCTGGTCCTCAGACACAAGTCAGTGGTGCTGGAGGAAGACTGCCCATCCTCCACTGACTCCGTATCTCACTGGTACAGGAGCATCTGCTTGGTGATTTTGTTCTTCATTATCATCTCCGGAATCCAATTTGATTTCATCCTCTGGAAACATTGCATGTCTCATTCTCACATGAGGGCTGCCCCTGCACTGCCCAGTCTACCTCAGGCCTCTACTGCTGGAGCCCTCACCCACGGCCTTCTGGTTCTTAGCAATGGCCACAGTCCTGGACAAACCAAATTGCTGTTCATAGTATCTCATCAAGGAGTCATGACCCACTCTGGAACAAGAAGGCTTCAGAAAAATTAATTAAACTTCAATATTGGGGCAAGAATGATAATACAGCAGTTAGGACACTTGCCTTGCATGCAGCTGACCCAAGTTCTATCCCTGCTGTTTCATACGGTCCCCCAAGCCAACAGGAGTTTTCCCTCAGCACAGAGCTAAGACTCAGCTCTGAGCACCATGCGGTGTAACCCAAAACCAAAAAAAATTATTTTTAATTAAAGTTTGTTAGCCATTTTGAGTCACTGTCACTGTCACTGTCCTCCCATTGTTCATTGATTTGCTTGAGCGGGCCCAGTAACGTCTCCATTGTGACACTTGTTACTTTGTTTGGCATATCGAATATGTCACGGGTAGCTTGCTGGCTCTCCAAGAGGGGTGGAGGAATCAAACCTGGGTCGGCCACGTACTAGGCAAACGCCCTACCCACTGTGCTATCGCTCCAACCCTGATAACTGAAATTTAAAAGGAATAGAAGGGAAATTTCTAAATATATCAATATGTTCTATTGTCTAATTATATACACACTTACCTTTTTTTTTTAAGTAAAGGAACACCAGGGTGTCCGTATGTCCATGGTGCTCTCACTCAGTTGGGACAAGATAAAGTTATCTTATGTTTTTCTCTCAAGATCTCACTAATATTCTGAAGCAGAGCCCAGGTGGAGAGCCAATAGTGTGGCCTCATAAGTGACTAGAATGTAGGTGTATGAAAGTGCCTGAGCAGACAATTCTGGGGGAAATACATTGATTTTAGATGATGGTCAGGGTTTTGGTATTTGTTTGTTTGTTTCTTTTTCTAAAAAAAAAATTCCAGTTATAGGGTGGGAGTAATAGTACAGCAGGTAAGGGCATTTGCCTTGCATGTGGCCAACCCAGATATGATCCCCTGAGCATCACCAGGTTGTGGCCCCAAAACAAAACAAAAAATTTCAGTTACATCACTTCATCTCTCTGCTAGACATTAACCTGATAATCAGATAATCCTTAAATAAAATTTGGCTCCTTGTGTGACTTTAAGACAAAGCATCTAAAGTAAATGCTGTTTCAGTTAGATACTGCTGTGCCTCAAAAGTCAAAACAGCAGTTGTTTTCTTTACCAACAAGCCTGTGTATTGACTGCGCTCAGCAAGACAGTTTGGCTTCTTGTGATGTGCTAGAGCTTGCTGTCCTCCGAGCACCAAATTGACCTTGTGTTTCTAAGCTAGCTCACTTTGCTGGGGCTGGACTGGAAAATCTTCATGGACCTCTCATTGCAAGGCAGCTGAATTCTAAGAGGAAGGATTTGACAAGGAAGCATTCCAATTTTTGCCTCAGCAGCCAAGTTTCTCATAGAAATTGATATACAGTCCCAGTCATCATGTCCCCCATATTTATTGATCAAACAGGTCACTGAAGTGAACACAATTCCGTGCATGGAAGGCAAGTTAGACTTCATCTGTCCCTTGATTGGGAGAAAATGAATGTGTACAAAGAAAGAGAGAAGGAAATTAATGTCAGAGATAGTTGTAGATTTGCTACCACCATCTCAATGCATGAAATACTTAAACATCGAAGTACATAAAGCAGAATTTGAGGAGATTTAGCTAGACATCAACAAAAGAATATTACCTTATTTTCAGGCACCCATAGACTATCTGCTTCCTCCTCCCCACACACACAAAAAAGAAGCCCTTGAACCCCTATAGTCTCTTAGAAACCTGAGGCCTTAATGATACGTTTTCCTCACCTCTCAACTTGGCAAAAATAATTACAGTTGTGTTTGTTTCATCATTATTATATACTACTGTGTATTAAATGGGGTTCTTTCCATTTGGAATCTTTCCTCTGGGTGAATTTTTTGCATATGAAATAAATAGTTGAGTTATACATTCTGTGTTGGCATGTTTTCTTTTGGGACTACTTTCTCCCCCCTCCTCCCCGATTGGGGACTTTATTTTTGCTTCCCCATGGTCTCACTCATAAGAGCAGTTTTGATTTGTCTTGGTGCACTATAGCACCAACTTTAGTTCTTCATCCTGCAGCTGGAATTATCTTCTGAATCCCCAGTAACACTAAATTGCTAACTGAGCTTTAATCATTACTAATCCCTACTTTTCAAATATTTTTTAAGTCTTGTCTTCTTGTTCATAGTTATTTTACCATCCTAGTAAGACTCAACAAATCAAAGGTGGAATCATCAGTTGTGGGTATGACATCATTTCCTGGCCTGTAGGTGATAATTCCTCATTGCTTATAGCTTCTGTTCGGCATCTTCATGTGATAGTAGACATTCTTCCCAAACCAACACATATCAGACTTCCTCAATAACACTGGCCTCTGTTTGCATTGCAGGTCGTCACGCTGTGGTACAGAGCTCCAGAAGTCTTGCTTCAGTCCAGCTATGCCACCCCAGTGGATCTCTGGAGTGTTGGCTGCATATTTGCAGAAATGTTTCGTAGAAAGTAAGAAATACCTTTTCTTTTGTTTGATCTTCCTTGGAAAGAGCCTTGAAGAGGGTGTGTTTGGACGGAGGTTCTTTGGAAATTCAAGCCGTAGCATGACGTTTCTGTTTCAAGGAGGGCTGTGAGAGTCAAATTCATCCAATGCAGATGAATTTTGCTATTTCCAGCCTGTTCTGCAACTGCTGTCTCAGTTCCTGCAGCATAGTTTTGTACCTTCCAGCTCTTGGAAACTCTGGAAAGGAACTCTCCTGTTTTCTGCTATTTATATTCTTGTTATTGGGAATGATATGACATTAATGAACATGCAGCATATCATATGGCATTTACCTCAAGGCAAACTTTGTCCACAGGAGGAGGACCATTGTGGTTAGGGATCTGAAATTTTTGATGGGGAGACTAGTGGGAGAGGAGGGGAACAAACCCAGAATGTTTAGAGAAAAAAAAGGCAAGGAAGATGTTGGTGCTATTTCAGGATACTTTAAATGCTGTCATGTGGAGGAGAGATAAAGACATATTTGGGCACTGTAGAGAGCAGAACTAGGACCAAGGACGTAGAAATGAAATAAATAAAGATCTTTGCTCACAAGTAGGGAAGGAATCTAGAAGCGAGTCGGCTATCTGATTGGGGTTGGGAAAACAGTGCGTTTGCCTTGGGTGTCCGAGAAGAGAGTGGACCACATCTGACATATTGGAAGTATTTTTAGCAGCATTCTTCGAGTGGGTGGATGGATTCAATGAACTCCAGGGCCCCTCTAAGTCTTGACAGTCTGTGATTCATTTGTTTGATTTTCAGGTCACAAGAAATAGCCAAACAATGTAATAAAGATCTGCCAGGAAAATAACCCATACCCAGGTACTAAATTCAGCCTGGTCAAATTAAACAGAGAAACTAATTATAATCTAATCTTTCTTTGTTTTCTATTTTTATTTCCATGGGAAAATGTGAGTTGGGAAGCTGAGTATATTCCCATTGGACATGTTATGTTCAAAATGTTGCTGCCTCATAGCACACAAGGAAAAGAAGTGCTCAGCCATTGTGGGTCTATTTGTTGGTCTTAACTAAATGAAGTTTTGTGCATGCCAGAAATTATGGGGCTTATTTCTGGAACTCAGTAGATTCACCAATAACTCATAGGAGGGATCATGGCAACAAGCTGAAATACGGAGATGTCTTAATATAGGCCTACTATGTGCCATCTACAGGACCAGACCTGGTCCTTCTTAATTACCTTTTTATTCCTCACAAAGAAATATAACAGAGATGCAGTTGAAAATATCTTTGTCTAACATTAGCAGCTAAAAAATACAGGGGCAGAAACCCAAGAGAGTGTGGCATTCTACTCCAGTGTTGTTTTCTTACCAACAAGGGAAGAAAAAAATCTGAATTTATCTCCCATTTAAACCAAAGAAGTTAAATACATGGTTTTGAAAGTGTAGTGTTGGACCCGCTGTAGCAGTACCCAATGGCACCATGCAAATTTCCAGCGCAGCCTCGGTCAGAAGCTCCTGTGCTGGGCCCAGAAACCTGTGTTTTAACAAACCATCCAAGTGGAAGGACCTCTGGGTAAACAAGATCGTTAGAGATGAGCAAGCTTAAAAAGACAACTTGAGTTTCTGATTCATTACTGGACTGAGTCCAGACATCTTGTTTTTGAAAGTGCCTCATGTAATTCTAAGTGTGGAATAATTTCCTGTCAGGATTGGAAGATGGGAGCTAGGTTAGTTTTCCTTAGGTCATCCCAGGAATAGGTAAGTGCAGCTGAGACTTTATCAGAGAAATACTGATATCCCATTTGTATGTCTAGAATTGTCTCAAATGTAAAGATGGAATCCTTTTGGGGGCTGGAGCAATAGCACAGCGGGTAGGGCGTTTGCCTTGCATGCAGCCAACCCCGATTCGATTCCCAGCATTCCATATGGTCCCCCGAGCACCGCCAGGAGTAATTCTGAGTGCATGAGCCCATAGTAACCCCTGTGCATCGCCAGTTATGACCCAAAAAGCAAATATATATATATATATATATATATATATATGGAATCCTTTTGTTAAGAGGGTAAAAAGGAACTCATTATTTTTCAGTAGTATGAGACTTAGATATCTTGCCATAATTGATTATATATCCAATATTTTTCAGAAATAGGTTAAGTGAATGATCAAACAATGTGCAATGTGAATGATCAAATTCACAATGTTAAGCATTCCTTTCTGAGGAATTGACTCTATATTTAAGAACAGGGAGTCATCATCTATGGAGTAATTGCAACCCAAATTTTTGTTTTATATATTTAAAACATTTTCCTGCAGCAGGAGTGATAGTACAAAGGATAGAGCACTTGCTCTGCAGTACCCCATATGGTCGCCCCAAAGCTTTCCAGGAGTGATCCCTGAGCATCACCATGGCTGTAGTAAAATTGATCATTTGAATCCCAACTATACCAGATACAAGTCAGTTTTTGGATTCATCAAAATATATTTTCTGTTTACCACATTTTTTCCTATGGGGAAGCTGTTTTCTGTTTCAATCCAAGATAACAGGAATATCCATCTGTTCATCCCTACATTACCTCTACAAGGGAGGAGATTCAGAAACTGGCAGCTTAGAGAATAGTTTTTTAGAAAATAGCAGCAATAGTTTTGCTTCAACTTGCTGGGGGTAAATGAGATATCAAGGAGAAACTCGCGAGCTATTCAAGTGTGCACAGAATAAAATTCCCCCTCTCGGAACCTTACAGAGAGATTGTAGATTGAAAAAGATCCCTAGGGGAGGAAGCAGTATTAGAATCAGAGCATATATTACTTTAAGGGGAAGAATGAATTTGGCCCAGCCACACATCCTTTCTGGAGCAAGTGCACTGTGTCCTAGGTCGTTCCTGCCTGTTGGTTTACAACTGACCTTGAATATGGCCATGGGATATGACCCTTGTTCCTGTTGAGTTCACGTTTGGTATTTCCTGTGATAACACCCCGATATCTCAATGTGCATGCTTTTTTACTGATGCCAAATATCCAGCCTCTTACTTGACCTGATTCCAACTGGACTCCTGGTTCAGTGTTGCCCCACCTGTAGCAGCCGAGAATTCACAAGTCATGGATTCTGCAAGCAACTCTCCATCATCATTTCAAACTGATTGCCATCTCTTTTGACACCTTCGTGGCTTTTGTCATAATTGTAATACAATTGTCCTCTTATTGACTTACTATTTGTACTGTCCTAAAATACCCTATTTTACTCTCTTTAGTCTCTTTCTAAACAAAAAAATCTATACAAATCGCAAAAAAGAATGAGGTAGCTGTTTAACTACTGCACAATAATATATTTCACCAATTACAAGTGCTTCATTCAGCCTACAAAAGACTTACTGAGTGGTTTTTCCATGCAACCTAAATTCTGGTGGAGAGAGAGAGTCATTGCATGCATTATTGGTTGCCTTGCATGTGTGAGATGCTGGGTTTGAATCCTGGAATCACCAAAACTTAAGAAGAGAAAAGAAAATTAAACAAGACTAGGAAGTTTCCTCCTGTTTGGGGCTGGAAAGAAAGCTCAATAGACTGGAGCCATATGCCTTGCATGCAGGAAATCTAGGTTCAATCCCTGGCATCAGTAGGTCCTCTGAACACCACAAGGGTCATCCCCCAAGTAAGGGGGACAGAATAACCTCTCTGCCCCTCCAGTATCACCCAAATACCACCACAACTCCCACACTAAAAAAAAAGCAAACCACATTTAATAGCTTTGATTTTTAGTCTCCTATTTGTGAAGGTGGCCTGTTGTCTGTGGATACTAAAGAAATGCCTTCGAGTCTAAAATTGAATACCTGGGAAACATGAACTCAAAAGTATTAGGGAGCAGATGGTTGACAAAGAGCCAAAGAGTGTAATGCCATATGTCAGTATTGTCTGTGTTTAATAGTTGTCCACACTAACCAAAGATTCATTCTACAAAATGGATAAGAACTTGATATTTTTTAAATCTTCCTTTCACTCTTTGCCTTTGTGCAATTTATCTTTACTTACATTTAGTCATGTTCTAATATTAAAAAACATGGCTATGAATTTGCTCAGTAGACAACTAGCTTGAAGGAAGGCATGAGATGGATTTTATTCAGATCAGATGGACAGATGAAAGGATGGACATGAGAGATTGATTTTTAGCTCCATTGCAAGATAAATTCAAAAGTGTTAGCTCTCTGAGAATCTGTCGGTTATCCTGGTTAGAGCTATTGTCTACAGTTAGAAGTTATGGGGTTTCCAGATTACAGCAAAGTAATAAAAAGTACACACTTGGGAAATAAAACATGCTACTAATTCTTTGAATATGGAGATTGTGGTAAACAGATAGCAATTCTTAGAAGTTGAGTTACCAACTCTACTGATCCCCGGCTAAGAAATGCCAAATGCCACCAGGAAGACTATAACAAACAGAGTCACTGTTAGGAGGGAACAAACAAGGCTTCATGGTTCCATTACCCGATGTATGGTGGCCTCTCTGTTCTTGTCGTCATTTATTTCTATGAATTAAACACCAGTAGCTGAGAAACTGACAGTGAAACTCTCCTTTGTGGCTGAGTGGTCTGTAAGCAAATATCTCTAAAATGTCACCAAGTGCCTTACAATTTTCCCGTTAGTAACTGTGTTGAGTTCTCCGCATTTCAGACTGTCCCTTCAGTGACATTAGGGAAATAAGCTCCTTCACCAGTTGTCTAAACACCAAGATACCAGAAGGCCAGCCCCAGCCTATCAAAGAAAACCCATTACCTCCGGTTAGAATGTATGTGTTCTAGAGCACACTTGGTTTCACCTGCAGACTCTTTTTCTCTTTCTGTGTATTTTCCTAGTTCTTTTCTTTTTAATTCTCTACTCCCCCTCCACCACCACCCCCCCCCCCAAAAAAAAGAACCAACCAAGTGGAAAGAATTCTACCAATGCATTTTCTTGAGCAGGGAAAAAAAACCCAAGATAGCACCCAGGGAGAAAAGGTGGTTTTGGTTAAATAAAGCAC